GGTTGCATGTACGTATATGTTGGCTTATTTATGTTGGCTTCTGCACGCATGTGTCTTTGCTCACACAAGTCGTAATGATGTAAGAACGAGATTTGACTCACATGGAGTAGAAATCCCCGAGAAGTCTGGACACAGTGCTGAGACAGGCGGCCACAGACACGTCGTTGATCACAGTGTGCATCGGGTGCGTGCTCAGCAACAGGTGGGCCTCCTGGAGTAGGTGGATGTAAGAGGAGGGGCCCGTGACTTGGATCTTCTCAGCAAATGCTATCTGTAACAGAGGAAACAGTTGTGGGAAGTCTGTTATTATATGTGTTACGACGCGGTGGAATTGGGCGCTTGTCAATTTATAGGCATGCGGAGTTACTGATATCATCTAAAAGCATATTCATTTGCCTTGCTTTCAATGAAAAAAAAACCCAACATTCTAACTTGAATAGATGTCGAGATATTTGCGATTGAAGAATGTGGGGGTTGCCTGGTTTCAGTGGTAAAATTGGTGAGAAAATGGTTGCCATAGTTTGGTAACTTCAATAGCTTGAAAGTCCTTGAAAACTGAAAAATTACATATTTTGTGCCTTTAATTTAAGTCTTTAGGTCAAATACATGTGGAAATGTGTTTTTATATGGACATAAAAGGTGTTGAGCCTAAAAACAAAAAGTCAATAAAACTTGCCAAACTGGCGGATTCATGCCCATTTCTTCGATTTTATTATTTTGACGATCGCCTGATTTCACAATGCCTCACATATTTTTGTTTTTGTTTATAGTTTCAGTAAAGAGAACAACATAAATATAAAAATGGTTATTTAATTCTCTTTTAGTTTTAGGAAGAGTTTTATGGCACTTGCAACACAATAAGGTATTTCAAGTGTCAAAGATTAGAGGTGTAACTGAATAGAAACAAACAAAGAAAAGAAAGACGAGAGAATAATGTGTTATTAAATGCATGGAAGAAGCAGGAAAAAAAGTTGGAAATGACAGAGGAAAAAGGAAAAAAGTAGAACAAGTGAGCGGGTGTGGAAAGGAAATCGAGCGAGTTCAGAAAAAGAGCTCACCATGTCCTGAAACTGTTCTTGCAAGCTGAAGCAGTTGAGTACGTACAAACTCCACATTGTCTCCTCCTTCCTGAACCAGTAAAGAAAACAAAAATTCAGGATTAAAAAACAGTAAAACTCATAAACTCCTTCTTTCTAGCTTGAGCACCTGAAACTGCACTTACTCCAGTGTCATTCTTTGAATGTTTGAGTAAAAAGATGCCACAATAATAGTCATTTAGTGCTGGGGAAAAAGTAAGACAAATAAAAACAATAGATGGAAAGTAAAGAAGTAGGACCTACCAGTGGCGCCCTCCAACCACTCTCTCCCCGAATATCATCTATAACACAGTCAACGCAATAAGTCAAATAGGCACTCCTCATTTACCCATCTGATTAATGACGCAACTGAAAGTAAAGAAAATTTCAATTACTATGACCTCTTTGATTTCAATATTGAGCCTCTTCGCCCTATCAGTTATAATCACCTAATCTAGCGCTTGCCAACCAAGGCGAAATTGCTTACAAGAAGACTGTAGACAATTTGGTAATTTTTATGGGCGGTGGGGACCATACAAGTTGTGACAGTGAATTATTTTATGTTCCACTTAGAAATACATGTAGGTGAGCTGTATGAAAACTGTATCCTCTTTTAAAAGAAGCTAAAGAGTGCACTGACTATTAAAAGGTTGACAAGCACTGATTTAAGCTCTCTAAAGTTTTTTGTTTGTTTGTTTGTTTGTTTGTGACCTGCAACATATTCTTCTTCCTCCGAAGATAAGATACAATAAATCCTTAAACACTTATTGTCCAGATCCTGGCACATTGGTTTGGTGTTTCACCACGTACAAACACACTCACATCACAAACACACCCAAACAAACACACCAACCTCTGCCACTCATACACCCACACCTCCCCCCACACACAAACACATACACCAACACACACCCACCCACCTCCACATACAAACACATACACCCCCACACATACACCTACATACACCT